ATACCAGAGCAGTGGTTTTGGCACAACTGAGTGTTGAAGCTGCTTAGCAAGTGCTCAGTGCTGCACCGGCACAGTTGTTAGGCACCAGTGCTGTTTGGACCTCCTGCAGGTACCCTGCTCCTTTTTCTGTGCAGCTAGAGTAGGTCTCATGTGGCACAGCAGTGCAGGGGGCAGGCATGCCGTCGGCAGCCCCCAGCGCCCGGCAGTTTGATGCTGTTTCGCTCTCTTCGAGCAAGCTCCGGACTTTCTTGCCTCCCGACTGTTGGAGCAGGTTGGGTGTGTGTTTCGTGCCACCTAGCGTCAATCTGCAGCAAGTCGAGCACATTTGTTGGCTCTGTGATGTGTACCTTAACCTGGGATGAGAGCAGTCACGCAGCTATGCTTGTGCATTAAGGGGCAGGAGGAAAATCTTGCCTGCAAGATTGGCGACTGGCAGATTGTAGCAACAAAACGCTGCCAAACAGCATCCTGCAGTACTTAAAGGGGAAAATTAGAATTTCTGGTGGGGAAAAGAGAGGATGATCTTAAAGCAGCAAGGTTTCCAACTCGTTGTGGTAAGCATTACAATAGATGTAAGCTAAAGAGGCTGGGTATGATATCTGTCTGTCTGAGAGGAGTCAGGGTGAAGTGAGGACTGACACTTTGAGTGCCAGGCAAGGCAGGGCAGCTAGTTTGTATTGTCCTTATGATATCACTTCTCTCCTCAGGTCTCCTTCATCGTCCAAGTCCTGCCCGTCCTCTCCTTGCCATAGAAGCCCCCCCAGGAGAGAAGAAAGAGGAAGAAACAGAAGCTGAGGACCAACTAGAGGACAACACCGCCCTTGCTGTTGTTGAAGAGCACATCTTTGAACACTTGCCTCCCAGACTGAACCAAGGTGTGATCCGAAGGGAGAGAGCCTAGGCAATCTTCCTGTGCTGCCTGGCCCGCTTCAGAGGGTTACTGGGATGTGGGGGTATTGCTTGTGGCTGGGTTTGGCCATGCGCAGGGTTTTGGAACTGGCACCCGCTGGTGGTTCGATGGACTCGGAGCCTCTCGGATAAAGTTGTGGCTTGCCCTGGGGAGGCGGAATTGGGAGAGGCTGGCTCATTTGGCAGTGTTCTGCGTGGTAAGGAGAGGAGGGGATCTTGTCGCCTGCTCCTGTGGGAGTCTGATAAAGCTAAAAGCTGCTGTTCTCAGCTGTGCTGAGAGAATTGCTACCCCAGGCAAGACTTCCTTAAGAAGTGGAAGGTAGAGAGGGGAGACCTCAGGCTGGGTAACTTCTGGGGTCTGGCAAGGAAAGGGGTAGTCCCATTGGGGGGATTCAGACGTGTTCTCTTCTGTCTTCAGCTCTTCTGGAGGCTTGTGCTGAAAGAAGAAGTTTCTTGACCGGAATCACCAATATGTTGCCTATACGTGTGGCCACGGCAATGATGGTCCCCTATATGCTGCCTCTGGAGTCTGCTGTTTCCTTCACTGTCAGGTGGGCCTGTGGCTGGTCCCCTCGGTGGTGGTCTTCCCAGTGCAGTGGAGTGGTTTGTGTAGCCGGTGGAGCATGAATGGACAGAGGAGGATCCTCTCAAACTTTGCAGTGGCAGAGTTTCTGGGGGAGAGTTCCTGCCACTTACCAGGCAAATGAGAAAAAACCAACAAACCAACCCAGAACTTTTCCTGCCTTTGTGTGCCATTTAGCTACAGCCAGTACTTCCAAGTCGAAGGAATATGTCTGTGATGGAACTTGCCCTAGAAAATGGTGATAGATTTTGGAGCCTGGAGAGAGACTTCTGAACTGGGAGTGCAGGGATGAAAGTAGGAACCGCACAAGAGGTGGTTCTCCTCTGGAGCGAGAGGGTAGAGTAGCCCCAGCCATTTCCAGCCCTACACTGACATGGCTGGGAAGATGGGTCTGTCAGACTTGTCCTTATACAAAGTACCCTATGAAAAGTTTGTGGAGGGAGATAGTTTGTGAGGGAAAGGCTTAGGGAAAAACACTTTCCAGATCTGAAAATTAATGAAAAATATGGAAAATGCAGGCAAAATGTAAAGCGTAAGTTCCTGAACTGTTCTCAACCTTCATGGCTTATCTCCATTCTATGAATGGTAGAGTAAATGGGTTTTAATGCATTTGTCACTAAAAATAATGAGTAACCACTGATAGGAGGCAAAACCGGTGTTCTTTTCATCCTGTCCTTTGTGTGGCCCAACTGATGGTTGTCTCCTGGCTCTTCCCAGGTTACTGGAATGGCTCCCAGATATCCCTGAGGATATTAGATGGATGAGGGAGCAGATGACTGAAATCTGCAACTATCTTGTGAAGAAAGCCAAGAAGAAACTGGGCAGCCATCTTTCAGCCAGGTACAGCACTGCTCTGGAGGAGCCCTCCATTTCCCCTTTCACCTTTGACTTCTACAGACTCTACTCCACTGGAGCAGAGCAAGTAAAGCACAAATTGACCAGAAGGATTTACTGCCCAACCTAAAATGCAAATGTGGTCCGTGATCTCTTGGCTTCCTTAACTGTTGGATAGACTCAGCACATGGTCTTCTTCCTTCTTCCTGTTAGAAGGCAGACCCTGTAATGAAGCAGTTACTACAGCAACAGGGCAGAACATGTAGGTCTAAACCAATATGCTAGCTTATTCCGTGCTCCCTGTAGAAGACAGAGGTGCTTGTCTCTGTGGCACTTGCTGGCCCAGGGTCCCCTAAAAGTTCCTCAAAGAGGTACTTGTGTCCGAATGACCTTTTCTGCCTCAAGATCTAGGCCTGGTTTAGGGTGGGGAGGCAATAGGGTGGCCATGACAGCGTTTCCAGATGAGACGGAGTGTTTTGGGTCTGTGTGTGCTGTTGAATGGAACTCCCTGCAGCAGGCTGTGTCTTCAGGCTGAGGCAAGACCGTGTGGCTTGGAAGAGGATGGGAAACGGTGTATTACAGTAGTAGGCAGAGGGTCCCAACTGTGGTTCAGATCCTAGTACGAGGGGCTGATTCTTACCCACAAGAGCTCATGATCTGAATAATCAGGAGATGTGAGGGGGAGGATGGGCACACACAGAGACTTCTGACTAAGATCACGCAGTCGGTGGTAGAAGGAGGTAGCTCTGTGGTTCTGGAGCTCTGGTCTGGTGACCTGCCCAAGTCTTCCCAGGTACTGATTCTTTGCATGTGTTTGCCTTTCAGGCTCTACTATCACCTTGAGCTTGGAAGGCCCCAGAGCCTGCCAATTTCTTCTGCATCAGCTTGTGGTGAAGCACTGCCTGTGTGGATGAGAAACAACCGTTCCCTGTCTGATGTCATGATGAAGTGGGAGGAGTACCAGCGCCAGATCATGCTGGGTTTACTCTGCATCAACGTGGACATGCAGGCCTCCCTCTTCCCTCAGGAAGGGTTTCAGATAAAGCTTCCACCTCTAGACTGTGCGAAAGAGTGCCTGCCACTCTTCTGAGCCTGCTGCCGTGAGGGGGTACGGGTGGGTGGGAAGGAAGGGGAGCGGGCATAGGGTGGGACCAGTCTCATTCCTCAGCAGCAGGCTGCTCTGTGCTCCTGAATGTGCTGAAAAGGGGATTTCCCCAGGATGGAGACTGGTGGAATCAACTGTAGCCATTTGTTGCCCACTGGGCCAAGCAAGGGATCTCTGTATTCAGACACCTGTGGGCCGGTACCTTGCTGCAGACTTGTGTTGAGGCCTGGCCATTGCCTGTCGCCAGGCTGATGCTGACCCAGCTGGGCTCTCCCAAATAACGCACTTTGAATTGCCATTGGCTTTTTACTGCCAAATAATCAGGACGTAGATGACGCTCTCAAGTTCATACAGCTTTTAGCTTCCTTTGGTTTTTAGAGCGTGAGTCTTGTTTTTTTTCTTAAATCATCTGACATCCCCTCAGCTTTTTGTGCTACTGAAAGATGAAGTAGCCTCTTGCCAAACCAGTTTTTCCTCACAGCTTCCAAATCTCCTCTGGACTTTCTTCTTTGCTGAACCCATGTCCTTTCCTCTCTCTGTTTACTGCATCCCCACTGGAAGCCAGAGCTGGCCCTGCTGCAGACTGCACTGGGACTGCAGAAGTGGTAGAAAAGTCTTGTGTTTACCCCGATTCATATTGTCATGGTCTCTCCCTGTTTGATTTTCATCCTCATGGAACTGCTGCAGCTTGAACTCTTTGAGTGTTAAGTAAGTAATTGAACTTATTTTAAAGAAGCGATTTAGACAGAATTTTTTTTCCAGGGAAACTGGTTGAATTTGAGGCCCCATTCCTGTCACTGTGAATGGAATTAATGTGGGATTGCTCTGGAAAAGCTCAACCTGACTATCTCAGGATCAGCTTAGCAGCTGAAGCAATGGGAAGTGCTCGTAGGAAGGTGAGATTGTGCAGGGCATGTTAACTTTTGAGCAGCTTGTGGTGGAGTGTCACAGCAAGTGCTGGGGAAGTGGCTGCCTCTGATGGGGGTCGGGCTTTGCTCCTTAGGGGACCATATAACTGAAGGAAATACCAAATGGGTGATACAGAAGGGATCTCCTGCCAAACTGAGGCTTGGCTCTGTCTTTTGCTCAAAGAGTTTGGACGTTGAGGCTTTGGAGCGAGAAGGATTTAGGCTTGTAGCTGTATCAGCCTCACAGCTTGCCTGTCTGGCGTTGTGGCTCACAGGTACAGCTCTGCAGCTGGCAATCGCAGGAGCATGAGAAGTAGAAGTGAAGGTGGGAGTGTTGGTGCACATGCAGCCTGTTTGGAACTGGCTACTTTTGTCTTGGCCCTTAAAAGACCAGAGCTGGTGGGTCTGTAGCAGGGCAGGGCTGTGCCTTGTGAGGTACTGACTTCTCCGTGATGCTCTGGTTGTGACTTGCTGTGCAGAAGCATGAACTCTGCTCTTCACAGGGTGAGACGTGGCTTCCCGTGGGGATTGCACATATTTAAGCTTAAGTCCTTGCACTATGACACAAAACCAGCTCCTGGTAACTTTCTCTGCAGTGTGTCTGGCAGCGTGAGCTGTCTTCTACCTCTCCTAGCACAAACAGTATGCCACTGGCCAAAGCAAACGTACACCACATAGCCTGTGGAACAGTGATTTATAACAGACTCTCTTTTGCACCTTTGATTTAGAAAGGGAAAATAACCCCAGAAGTTCTACTAATAGCTGGAGAAAGTGGTGAATCTGTTTGATCCCACCTGCATGAGCAGTGTGGACGAGGTGGTGGATGCTGTTTCCTACCAGCACCATCGTGCACTGGGCATGGGTTTGGGTGCTTGTGGTGGAGACAGTGATGAGCATCAGGCCTTTTCTGCTGTGGCTGTGGCAAGCTTGGAGGCAAGAGACCGGGCAGCTGTGGTGCTGACCGACTGTCTGGGAGACACCGGTGCAGATTAGGGTATCACCCCGCTGCCCTTCCTGGATGTAACCTGCCTGTGGAACATGGGGGCCTGCACCGCTCATGAAGCGGGCAGTCAGATTGAGTCTTAAGCTTCACGTCGTTAAGGCAGTGAGGGAACAGGGAAGTCACTGCAGGAAGAGAGAAAATTGGGGGATTCCAAAACAAGAATAGGATCATTGGATTATAAAACAAGTCAATCTTGGGATTGTCTAAAGCCTGTGGAAAAAGCTTACTATGCTAACCAAAGTGAAGCAGCAACAAGCTGCTGTCAGTTAGTGGGAGCAGGATGAATTTGATGAAAATTGGAATTGAGAAGAGGTGTTTATTTTGTGGTTTGGTGTGGGATTTCTCCCACTGCTTTGGGCTATGTTCGTCAGGGTAATGGCACATGCACAGCTGCTTAGTTGGCCAAATGCGTATCTCTTGGCAAGCAGTTGCAAGAACTTATAGATATTTAATGGCAAGAAATGAAGGCATTTCATACGGAAGCAAAACATCTGTGAAGGGCAAAGCTGGATAAGGAAAATCTTGTGCTTGGAAGCTGCTGCCCTTTTGACTCTTGCCTTGTTTCTGTTTAATACATGGGTGGAGAAAATGATGCAACTATTTTTTTTTTAATCCCTTCTTCCTGGACTGGTAAAACCACTGAGTGATTATGTCAACCACTAAACTATGAAACAAAATTATCTTGGCAACAGAGCGCACTAAGAAATTGCAGCCTGGCACCCTTATCCCCTGGATCTCCTTTGTTCTCCTTTTGCATCAGAACTGACTGGGCTGGTGCCACCGTCTTCCAGTGCTCCCTGACCCAGAAGGCTTGCTGGTTCTGGTCCGTGCATTTCAAGAGACTAGCGCTGTGCCTGGTAAAAGGCCTGCGTTCCAGTCTGTGTTTCACCTCATCTGTCGTTCTGTTTGTTGTATTAACCTCGCAAAGAGAAGCTTTTGTACCTTTCAAACTGCAACCACAAACCAAAGCCTGGCTTTAAATATAAAGGTCTAACTCTTCAGGGAGGAAACTCCTGTTTTTCCTATGCTAATTTGCCGGGTGTGAACGGATACTGGGAAAACACCACTCCATATTAACCCTTTCTTTGCCTGTGCTCATTCCCCAAGTGATGCAATGGCTGTTGTAGGGTAGCTTGTTGGCTTTATAGAGTGGAGCTCTGATAGAGGAACTGCAGATCTGTCAAATACCTCAAACTACCCTCCTCTTCCTTAAGACAAGTTTCATGCATTCGCACAGATTGCAAAGGATGAAGAAAGCAGGGAAGATATTGCCTGCTGATGCAGAAAAAGGGCTGTGGCTGCTTTTGAAGAACACCTTTTTGTGTGGCGCTGCCTTGCCTAGATCAGACCCCGCTTCTTTGAAATCCCTGGAAACCTCATGATAGGCTCTGGACTGGATATGGAGGGGTTTATTGTGCTACTACTATCTGGAATTCTTCAAGCCTTTGTTCTAAGTGTACCTCGTGGTATGCGTTATCTTCTGGGCAGCAGTTGCTGATTAACCTACACTTGTCAAGTTTATAGGAACAAGGTAATCATCTGTAGCAGTCCCTTCAGCAAAATGGGTGGCTGGGCGGCCCAGTGTGTGGGTGTCAGGGCCTGTCTGCTCTCCGGTATATGGTGGTTGAGAGGTCAGGTTCCTGGACCAAAAGTTCATCTTGCAGTCCATGTCCAGTTGTCCTTACAGCAATCACTTGAACTCTGCAAGGGTCCTGACCCTTGCCCTTTCCACTGTCTCACATAAAGGGTCTGTGCATTCAGGAATCCACTTTTTTTTTTCCCTCCTTCCTGTGATACTACTTGCTGCCTTTAACAAGGCTAACAGTGAGTTTCTTGTGCATCTAACTAGCCCCTTACCTGTGCAACACTGTGGATTGTTTTCTGTTGTGCACCACAGCCCATATCTAGGTCAGGCTCACAATTTCTGTGGTATGTTGGGCTTGGTTTGCTGCCTGCCCTACTGCTAATCCTGGTGCAAGCCAATTTTCAAGGGGTAGGAGGAAAGACTTTGCTTCTGACCACTGTCTCTAGGACCTAGGAATTGCTTTCTCCTGACTTCTTGGAGGGCTGCATACCTGCAACACTCAGACCAGAGAATAAAAAAGAATCTGCTGTCTGCCAGCACTGGGGTGTCCCTAGTGCATATTGTATGTTCCCTGGTGGTTTTGTCCATTTTTAAAAGTGAATCTAGCAACTCACTCCTTCTTCCGAGAGGAGAGCTCTTGCTTTCGCTGGTCGTTGTGGGAGAAACACCTGAAAGGCCACGTGTGTGTTTCTCGCAGGGGTCTGTTGTGCCCGGACGCAGACGGGCTGCAGTGGGGGCAGGGCCGGGCATTGCCAAAGTCGGAGGGCCTTGCCCACAGTTTTCTCGAGCTTTGTCTCTGTCTTCCCCTTGAATCAACGGCCCACCTCACCCGGCTGCCCCGCCAGCCAGCTCGATTGTGCCAAACACCCCATGCCTTTGCAGCAGGCTCTGGCCTGCCTGCCCTCCGTGTCCCGGCGGCATCCGCCTTTCTGGATGCAGCAGTACTTGCTCTCCTCTCCCTGCCTGCCGGAGGGACGTTGCTCTGCTTCCAGGCAGCTCCACTTGGTCTCTGACCGCATCCATCTCCCTGTGCGGATCCACGTCTGCCCTCCTGCACAGGGCAGGGAAGCCTCTAGTTCCAAACAGAAGGCTGAGAAACGTAACTTTGAAATGAATACCTCTTTCTGCCAGGGTTTTCTCTCGCTCTTGAAAACAGCATCTAAAGCAGCTCTTTGAGCTAAATGTATCCTGGGACTCCACTGCTGTCGCTGAGTTTGAGAAGACCCTGTAGCACATGACACACGTGGAGATCCTGTGGAAATTACTGATATCAGAGCAGCAACTAGACCAGCAATAGCATACCCAAATCATGCATTTACACGTCAATGTCACTAAGTAGTGTTCACAGTCACTTTAAAAGTTCAGTATTACAGTGTTGATGCTTTTTTTTTTTCCCTCCTGTTTCTTTTTTTTTCTAATGTTTTGCTGAAGAAAATGTAACTATTTATTTTGGCTAAAATATACCTTCTAATAAAAACTTTCTCAATATATTTATCTGGCTGTTATAGGTTGCTGGCCGTGCCATTTAAAGGTTTATTAAACATTTTTTGAATGCACACAGTGTGGGTTTGTTTTGCTGGGTCCTATCCCGTTCAAAATCCTCTCGGGGTAAACACGCATCAGCATGCAATGAATGGGGCATTGACCTAGAGGTGAAAAATAGTGCATTTTGGCCCAGCTCTGACTTCCTTGACCCAAAATGCCCCAAATTACATTAGTCTCTGTTTTGTTGGAGCTTCTGGGTAGACCCTGGTTTCCAAGAGGAATGAAGCACCGTCTTTTGGGAGCTGCAGGTGGTTGGCACCTGTGAAAGGGTTAATAAAAAGGTATTAATGAATTTGAAACTTCTCCACTTCGGGGGCGTCTCTGGGGAAATGGAGCCCTGTCCCTTACGCCTCGGCGGGCCAGGCGCTGGAACAGATGGTCCTGGCTGCGGTGTGTCCCTCGGGTGCCCAGGTCCGTCCTGGT